GGACCAGAGTCGAGTTCCGGGACATTGACTTAGATGAGAAGTCCATTTCAGAGATGGGTTCAAGCCGTGAATCAGATCTGGCAAGTCCTCACTATCACTCCCTTCTGCCGCTTCATCATCCACCACAATGTAGCCATCGCCTAGACCCTGCTCGTTACGCACCCATTTCCAATCATAGTCAGGCCCCTGGCGGAACTTGATGGTGAAACTCAACGATGACTGCACAGTAAGATTGAGAGCAAAGTGCAGGCGTGTTAGCTGATCCGCAGGGTCGTGCAGGGTTGACGGGAAGTTCCTCTGCCCACTTGAGGCGAAGGGTATCTCGACCCAGCTTGCCTTGCGACCATCGAAGCTGCCAGTGGAATGCCAGAGCGCAAGCTGCCACGAGTCAGGAGCGAGGGATTTGGGAACCTCCAACACAGCATGAAATGTCACACTGCCATTCTTCAACTGGGTGATCTGCTCCAGAGGCGGGTAGGTTGCGACGAAAGGGGACATGGTCGGACGAGACCTGTTGGTTTACCAGGCGAAAGTCCCGATGTCGGTCGTAGTGTTGGATCGAGAAGATATCAAAGAGTGACAGACACTTTGACGAAGGCGGAGGACTAGAGATAGAACACGGCGGATGTATTGAAGATGGGAGGTAACTCGTGATAGGTGATGAAGTTGTTAAGCAAAGATATGTCTGAGGAGGTACCTATGTGGTCCCTGTGTAAGCTCTCAGCGAGGGCAAGGAAAAGACCGAAGAAAAGGAAGAAGCCCAATGACGATGCCAGCACAGAGTAAGAGTAGGTAGGCGTGGGATGCTCAAGAGAGAAGCCAGAATAGTTAAATCATGCCGGAGTCTGCTAGGGCTATTGCACCTCTCCGATCGATGGCACTAATGCTTAGAGTAGTGCCATATGCTACTACGTTACGAAGCCCGAGAAACCATTCCCGACTGCGGATGAGGACATGGTACATAAGAAAGAGAAGTGAGATGGAATCCTTGCGCGGATTGCTGAGAGGTCGGGACGAAATTTGCGGATCATTCCAATTTAGGGAGGTGAGGGAGTTGGTAGCATGCGTACTGAGCAATTGTACAGGTGGTGGTACGAGCAGTTGGAGTCAGCTCAAACATGATGGGACGAGATGATGTGCGAAGAGGGGATGGAAGGAAGGAAGAACAACACCCACGGGCGGTGCATGAAGCTTCGGCTCCTGCCATGTGCAACTTCCCGAACTTGCACTTGCACTTGCACTTTGCGGTACCGTATCTCTATAACTCAAGCGATAGTACCGCTAGATCGTGGATTGTTGTAGGGAAAAAAACAAAGGCATGGACGACTTCGATACCCGCCTGAGAACTGTAGATAGTTAGACAGCCCTACCGGATACGGGTATCGTTGTGCTCTGTGAAATGCAACCTCGAACTCGACTAGACTTGGCGATGACATAAAAGGTCGCGATGTGCCAGGTGAGCTGCCCGTGGTGAGCTACATATTACGGGAGCTGCGGGAGTACGGAGCACGGGGCTGCTGTTGCTGGCTGGAACCCTCGAGTTTCGTCTTTCGTGGAAGAGGGGAACCTCTGAGCTCTGACGTGAAGCCCAGCAGCTTCCCGTCGTCCAGCTACGTCGCTGGCAGTTTGGCCGTGTTGGCGGGCTCCATTGCTGTGGAGAGGGGCAGAGTCGCATTGTGAGAACGAACCACAATGGCTCAATTTGCAAGCTGGAAGCCAAGAACCCGGCCGGCAGAGGTGCACGTGATCCAGTTTTTCGAGCTTTCCAGACTGGAGCCACTCGGTTGGCACCCCGGGGATTCCCGCGGCCTTGAAAGTGAGGCAAAATTAACGACTTTTTTGATGTGAGCAGCTAGAGGTCCTCACTGTAGCATCCTTTCCTTCAAACCGCTCATTCCACCCCCCTTCAAACCACCGACCTCCATGGCTTCCCGGAGACTAGCTCTCAACCTGGCGCAGGGCGTGAAGGCCCGCGCTGGGGGTGTTATCAACCCTTTCCGCAGAGGGCTTGCTACTCCTCACAACGGCTCCGGCATCAAGACCCAGACCACCACCCTCAAGAATGGCTTGACCGTGAGGACCTCCCCCCCGACCCCGAGCCCGCCTCCGAGCCCTCCCCCTCCGGCCCGATTCGACCCCCTCCCGGCTCGCCGGCCCCGGACCCAAGACACCTCCGGACTTGTCTAACGTCAATTGCTATCACAGG